TCGTTCGTTTGGTCGACTGCAAGACGTGCTGACCCGCAGCTCTCTCCATGTGCTCGTTGTTCCTTTTTTCTATTTTCCAAAGAAAAAAAACTTGTAGTAGCGCAAGTTACTGATGCCATGTTCTTGTTTTGCTGTTTCCCCTGTTGCTGCAACGAAACTGATGGCAGCGAGGGCGATCTGCGTCACGGGCACGCCTGCGCTGTCCCGGCCCGCGGAGCTGTTCATGCAGCTGAAGGCGCTCATGCCGCAGGCGTTTCGGACGTTCCATCCCTTCGCGGTTAGGCGAGTCTACGTAGTCTCTCCGTCATTTTTTTTGTGTGTCTTGCTGTCGTCCTCGTTCGTCCTCTTTTTTTTTTTTTTTGTTCCAACATCTTACCTTGTGTTTTCGCGGCTTGTTTCGTTTCTGCAGCAAGTATATATATATTTTTTTCTCGGGACGTTTTCTGTTGTGTGCTGTCTGTGCCGCAGCTCGTGAGGTTTGTGGTTGGTTGTGTGCTGTCCCACACCATATTGCCCCCCAGGCCTAAATTTTACCGTTATGCGGATACATACATGTGCTCCCTTTCGTTGTAGAAGGTGTGGCATCACCCAACCTACAGCATGCGAAGCAGCTCTGCTGTGGTGCTGAGGGTTCGCCTCTCTCTGTCGTTGTGCCTGGATATGGGTGTTTGACCGGGTTATTTGCCGGTACTGGTTTGTCTCGATCTTCGCGCTTGTTGCCGTATTCCGGCGGTTTCATGGGCAACGGAGAGACCGCACTCGATGCATACCACCAATGTGTTGCAAGTTGTTGCCACAACACCACAACAACACTAAGTGGGTAGCCATGCCAGGCAGAGCTTGCGCAGTCTCCGCCATGCACCTCCTGCACGTAGACAGCACTATCGACACAAAGCAGCAAACAACAACATCTCTCACCGGCAACATCGTCATCTTTGTCATTGCCATGAACCACATTGACGACGAGCAGGTACTGCGCGGCGTTCCAGGGACCGTTCGGGCTGGACGTGACCGGGTCCTCCAACTCGGCGGAGCTGAAGATGATCCTCGAAGCAGCCATCATGGTCCGACGCCTTAAGGAAGAGGTGATATACCTTCTCCCTCTCTCCCGGTCTCTGCTTGTCTCCCTGCCTGTCTGTCTGTGCCTGTCCCTCTTTTTCTTTCTCTTTCTCTGTCTCTGTCTCTCGCCCTCTCGCCTCTGTAACAAGTACGTACAAACGGACTTACGGCGGATCTTTGTGACGCTTCCGAGCGATGTGTACCCCCCCCCTCTCGCCTTCCTCTCTCTCTTCTGTGGCGCCTACAAGCGGCCCCACCACGGCCCGTGTCTTGTATGTGTGTACAGATTCATATCATGGTTTGACCCTTCCGAGCGCGGAGTCGGGACGCCTTTCCTGGACCACGTAGATTCCAGCGGTGTACTTTTGTGTGTGTTTTGTGTTAGCCCCCATCTCTTGTGGACGCAAGACTACACACTATACGTTTGACCCACCAGGCGGGGATTCACGCAGGAGGAAGACGAACATTGTTTTTTTCGTTCTTCTCTTTTTTCCACCTTTTCCCGCGCGGTGCTTGATTTCATTCTTTTGACACGAGAAGGGATCTCAGTCATCAGCCCCTCCCTCTGAATTGTGCGTTTTTTGTCATGATTTGATGCCCAGAGGTTGAGAATGATTCGTCCTGTACTCTGGTCCTTTTTTTCTTAGGTTGAAGAAACGTCTTGACGAACATATAGCATTGAATTGCCTGTGTTTGTGTTTGTTTTTAGAGACGTGTCTCAGCAGGCTCCGCCGATGAGTCTCGGTCTGCGCGGGGGATGAGAATCTATCGCCAAGCACTATTGTACATGCACATCGCACAACAAGGACCAGTTCTTTTTTTTGTGTTGACGGGCTCGGACCTGACGCGCGCTTTTTGTATCGAAGAAGCGAGATCGGCTTCTTTCGGTTGCACAACCATGGCACGGCGGTGTTGAGAAGAGCAACCTACGTTCGCGTTCGTTCTAACTTGCTGCTGTTTTATTTGTTTTTGGCACTGCGGCCATCTTGGCCGAAATTGTTTGCCGTTTTTTGTTGCCCCCCCCTATATAACTTAAAACCCCGGCTTCTCTCTTGCTCCGATCCCGATATGAGGGGAATGAGGAGTCAACCTAACGTGTGATTTCAGAATCTCGCAGAGACACTCCTCTATGCAGGGGAATGGCCAACCACTCGATGTCACAACCATTTGTTCTTTTCGTCTCTCTTTTATTTTCTTCTTTTTTTTGGGGGGGTGGGGTGGGGGGTGGGGGCGGTGCGTCCATCAGGTGCTGTCGGACATGCTTCCCGACAAGGATCGCCAGATT